AACCGGACTGTTGCTCCCCAGAATGGTAGGAGCCAGAACCGTGAGGTTCTGTTTAAAAAAAATAATAATAATAATAATAAAAAAAAAAAATAAAAAAAAATCCAACGCCATCGGAGAAGTTGGCAGACTGAAACGGTTTCACCCAGTTTACCCGACAGATGCAGACATCAGGACTCGACCCCTAGACCTACCCCGTAACCCTGTACATTGACCCTGTAACACTATGTGAGATTTGAACCCACGATCTGTCCCTAAACCCCTTAGGCTAGTTAGTATGGGTGTTACTCAGTCGTTAGGTCTTGAACCATAGACCTTCGTGTTAGAATTTTAGTGTGTTACCGTTAGGCTTAGTTAGGGTCCTCCTGGAAACCTCTATCTGACTTTTCGGTAGTGTAATGGTCAGTCCGTAGTTAGTCCTAGCTGTTAGCCAAGAGTCAGTCGTTTTTCCCCCCCCCTTAAAACAGGTCCTTACGGCCCTGGCTCCATTTCCAATCTGGGAGCATCAGTCCGGTTCCTATTCCACCGGCAAGTCAGAATGAAATATTACATCATGAAACACACTCACGCTTCCTTCCGTCCGGTCGAAGGAACCCTGACCAGCATTGATTACTCCCGCATCGTGGAGGATTGACTGTCAGCTTGCCTTACTTCCACCTTTTCTCTCAGGTCCAMTGCATGAACCTGTCAGATAAATAATAAAGAGCAAGAAAAGTAAGAGAAGCTACGGAAGTTGCGAAGAGTCAGTCCTAGGTTCTAGAAGGTCGTAGGCCCAGTCCACCCGTCTGAGTCAGCAAGTGCCAGGTGAGGGCCCACGCGGTTTGGCCCACACGGTTTGGGGCCATTCAGGCCCACGYGTTTTGGCCCAGGGTCRGGGGCAGGCCAGGCCACCTGCGAAACAGTATAAATAAAGCGGCTGCGCTCAGCCCTTCATTCATTCGCCTGTGAGCCATGCGGAAGCGCTGCCAGTGTGACTTGTGTGGAGGTCTGCAGGTGCCCGAAGCTGAAGAGCRCAGAGGAGGACRACGGCGGSCAAAGCCACCTTGAGGAGGAAGACGACGGCGGCCATAGCCGCCAAGCTGCTGACGTCAATGGAGAGTGCAGTGCGTGTGTGTGTGTGATGCATGGACATTCAGGGTGGATCTTYGTGCGTGTATGMGTGAGTGAGAGTGAGGCTGATGGTGGAGACAGTGTTCGGCGGCCATAGCCGCAAGTTGTAACAGTTGACTTAAGCTGGGTTGCTGGCCAGAGGCCATATCTCTGAGTTTCTGTGTGGGCGCATGTCGCATTGCAAGTTCATTGCTGGTTCTGAGTTGATGAAGTTGGTTTGCCATCGGCACATACATGTATGCATGTTGCAAGCGAGATTGAGACAAGTCTGATTGCAAAACACTGGAAAGCTTTCAGACAATGGGATGGAGATTGACATGTGAACAGAACAGGCAGAGGGGGGGGCCAGTGAGGTCAGTGAGGGCGGAAGCACCTCAAGGCTTTGCAGTGGAGACATAGACCTTGAACTGGACAACCGAGGAATGAGAAAGGAGTGAAGGGACAGGGAGTGGGCTGCGGAAAAGCAGAGGGCATCTAATGTGGAGCACAGCAAGAGGTATCAGCAGGCATTGGGACCTGAAGGCTCTCAGATGACCCTGGGGAGAGGGAGAGAGTTTGCCTGCAGGCAGACAGGAAGGGAACACCAGCAGTGGGATAAATGCGCTCAACTGCAATCATTTACCAGGGGTTTTACACCTATGGGCTAAAGAATTGATTGCGCTGGACTACCCAGTAAAAGTAATTGGCCAGGCATTTCGGGTAATGGAAATTAAGGCACTTGGAACGGGATCTGACACCACGAAGTGGGCGACAGTGGTTAGCGAAAACCAGCTGGGGGGAAAATCCGGAGAGATCTGCAGTTGAGACAGTTATTGACAGAATTTTGAAGACATGACAAATGATAAGGGCAGGAAGATCCTAGCCGACAGGACAACTGAGTGTCAGATTTCCAGCACCAAGGACTCGGAGGGCACAGACGGTTGAGGTTTGAGGTACCGGAGGAACTGGCATCCAACATTCAGATAAGGAGGGACTGGGGCTATTGAGGAGATCGGGTTCGTTGAGGGATTCAGATACGTACGAGGGAGGAGCTGGACATTGAGAGGAGGAAGGCCAGTGCATATGAGGAAGACACACGGGTCGATACACTCGTCATTTGAGCAGAGATAGGTAGAAGGGTGATGGCCGCACGAAGCGTGTTTTTTTTTCAACTGTTATGATCCTGGCCACTTTTGAAGTGCAAAAAAAAAAAAAAAAAAAAAAAAAAAAAAAAAAAAAAAAAAAAGAAAAGAAAAGAAAAGGAGGATTTCATCGTGGAGCTGACAGGGCCCAGGTGAGTCAGACGGATTTCCATCAACTCGTCCTGTTCCAATCTGGAGTCCAACTCAGGTCAGAGTCCGTCAGACGGATTTCAATCGTTCATGGGTCTACCCACTGAGATAGGCCCGTTGGTTTCCCAGTATCATTCCAATGTTAGCAGCGGTCCTTATTCCTCAATGACGATGTCGGCAATCCTGTTTTCTGATGAAGTCGACTAATTATACCGTCTATGTGGTGTGTGTCTTTCTTCAATTTTTTTTTTTTTTTTTTTTTTTTGTTTGTTTGTTTGTTTGTTGCCCTTCTGCATGGTGTCTCATATTGTGTGCAGGATGTGACTCAGTTCGGCCCGCTTTCGCAAACCTTGGCAGCTATGGCCACATCTCAACCACAGCTTGTCCCGACCATCGTTGCTCAGGTACATGTGTGTGTGTGCGTAATATGTGCTCCTGGATCATTGTTTGTGGCAGAAGAAAGGGTCGTTGGTGAGGGAAATTGGCAATCTGATTTCTTGTCCAAGACCTCAAACTCCTATTGTCTTCACCCAAATACAATGTACGGTCATTAAGGTCGCTGGCTTTTTCCCCAAAAAAAAAAAAACAATGTCCGGTCATTATATCTGCATTTAGACTGCGAGATTCCCCAAATACAGCTATAATGACCGTACGCTGTTTTTGGGGGAAGAAGGTATTCCGCTAGGGTCGAAGTCGAAGTCAAAGTCAAAGTCAAAATCAAAGTCAAAGTCGAAGTCGAAGTCGAAGTCGAAGTCAAAGTCAAAGTCAAAGTCAAAGTCAAAGTCGAAGTCGAAGCAAACACACGATCTCACGGCAGTATCGTACGAAGAGGATAAGCAGCGCAGGATCAAGACCCTGCGGTCGACAGACACTCAGCACTGTGCCTTGTTACACACGGCACGTGAGATCAAGCCAGATCTTCGTAGAAGCCAAAGCTCAGAGACATTGCAAGAGGAACCCTCCACTCGAAGTTTACCTGAACCTAAAAAAAAAAAAAAGAAGAAGAAGAAGAAAGAGATCAGGAGGAGAGAAAGATAGAGGAGAAAGGGAGAAGAGAAAGTTTAAGAAGAAGAAGAAGAAGAAGAAGAAGAAGAAGACGGAGGAGGAGGAGGAGGAGGAGGAGGAGGAGGTTAACCCGGGAGAATAGGCATGGACCTCAGGCAGCAATCGGAGTGTCAAGACGAAAACACCGGTTCAAGATTATACCGTTAAATTTGGATATGATCTACTACTGAAGACCAAAGACCCAGATCCTATTATCCTAAACAGATGGCGAAAGCTGGTGGGACAGGAAGCCGACAAAATTCAACAGATCCCATGGAAAAAATATGCACAGATCAGACCAGTTAAGATCAGAAGTCTGCAGTGGCTGATAGCGTATGCTGCCCTACCAGTGAACCAGTGGCTGCACACTAGGCGCAAAGCTACTAATCCGGATAGCTCGGAGATATGTACAGTTTGCTCGGCAGGAGCGGTAGAGGACATAGTTCACTGCTTGGTGCACTGTGTGGAGGCGACAGATTACTGGGCGAGAGCCTCTTCCCTGTGGAACTCCCTCTTTTCTTCCCCCTTCCCTGAACAACCCATCCAACTACTCCTCGCTAACATCCCCACAATGACTCGGAGGGCGGAAACGATTTGGTTTGAACTCATCAGGAAGGTGACCCTATGGGTGATCTGGAAGGAAGGAGAGATGTAGCAGATCAATTGAAGGACTATCAAATCCAAGGGACAAGGTATGGAAAGAGTCCAAGTCGATTGTGCAGATGGAGGAAAATCAAGCTGAAATGGCCTGAGGACGAAGAGCAGCGAAAGAAAGTGAAATCGAAATTTAGCAGGAACTGGCTGGTCAGCGGTAAGGTGGCCGAGATCCGGGAAGACCGGGTGAGCTGGAAGGACTGGCACAACTCAATTCCGGATAGGATTGTACGGCAACAGACACCAACAGAAGAAGCAACTATGACTTGAAGGGTTGGGGTCGAAGGGGGTTTCACCGGATTAGGTTGCAGGAGACCACTTCCACAGGGTCTACCTGCCTTGTCACCTCAGCTGTTCGCCACAATCCAGCACGGGCCGCTTGTGGCCCTAGAGGAAGAAAGGGGAGCGAAACTGCGTATGTCAGTAAGAACCGTCCGAGCCCACAGGAAGTGCCGCCGACTGAAGATCAAAAAAGGGAAGGAGGCCGGGAAAAAAGAGGGTGTAGAGTGGGGAGGGTCTCGTAGAGAAGTGACGACAGTATGGGGATACAGGGGGATCCGGTCGACGCATCACTGGAAGGCAGAAGCAAGGGAGGAAAAGTTATTATTTAAGGCTTCCAAACAAGGGTAGGGTTTAGGGTTTAGGGTTTAGGGTTCAACAGAACTCAGAGGATGGGGGAGAGTAGCTGGAACTAAGGAAATCACACCAAATAAGGGCGGGCTGGGGATGAGGGACAGCATGAGCGGGCAACAGCACGGGAGGAACTCTTTCTAGGTATAACAGATAAATCTGGCAGGACTGCATCAGTAGATCTGAGAGGGAAGAGCGACTCTGGGCAAGCTGACAGTCAATCCTCCACCCAACGTGGAGCAATCAATGCTGTTCAGCGGTCCTCCGGCCAGACGGGAGGAAGCGTGAGTTGGTTGCTGTGATGTATCATACTTTGACTT